CCAGCTTTATATTGAAAAACTTTGCACAAGAGGAGGAGAAACCAGCCCCAATCTGCGATTAAAGATGTCCAAATTGTTAGAGAAAACTATAGCAGAGCTCAACAATGTCAATCCTTTGATGATGAGGTGCATATTTACATTTCTATGCCTTCCCTCTTCACCACCATGTAGTTTCATGTCTGATTCTATGTCTCATACTATACTATACTATTTACCTTATTTACCAAAGGCTGCACCAAAACATCTATAGAAATACTATAATATTCTCCTAACTCTATATTGTATTACAGAAACAGTCCATACAAAGTTACAAAAATAATCATCAATCATAAATACTTCAACTGGTGGTACATACATGGCTTGCAAGCCATGCAAAAAAAGCGAACAACAGACTAGATGGTAGTTACAGATGCCCAAAATGCGATGGCACAAACACAGTTCCTACGTACCTAATATTCATGATACCTCTCTTTCAAATGCGACATGAATGTACTATTTCCAAAAAAAAAAGCTTCACCTCTCAGATAACATGAGCAGTACTTACTATCATTTATGGCTAAGGATTCCACAGATGAAGCATGTTTCTTTGCATTTGACGACGAAAGCAACCAAAATGATTCAAAAAAAAAAAAATGATTGTCGGTGCCGATCAACCCATTGTATGCAAAGGATGCATTACCTCGTGCACTACTGAGAACATACTCAACAAGAAATTTATCTTATCAGTTGATCTTATTAATGAATCTTGTAAGAGTGTTAAAAAGAGGCAGTACCAGGTAAAAGCAATTTTAGAAAGACCAGCAAAGCACGGTTCCACACAGGCAATTTCCACATCTCACTATGATCCAACACAAGGCACAAGTTCAACTCCAGTCATTGAAAGCCCACATCGTTCAAGCGAACTCCTTTTGATTGAATCGACAACACAATCTGTAAGCAACTTCTACGTCTCTTGAAGTATACATATTTGACCATAAACTCTGCTCACTATGATCTCAACATTATAGACTCCAGCACCTGCCATTGCAGCAGACCACGACACCTCCAAAGATGATACAGACAGGTACACAACCACCTATAATTCTATGTTTAGTTACTATGCAAGCCATAACCAGCTAGCTATTAATCATATTTCTCTGATCGGTCTCTGTTGCAAAGCTTATTTCAACCTATTATTCATCACACACAATATATATCTGATCCACATTCGAATTCCTGATAAGATCACCAACAAAACGAACCAGTGCTCGCAAGAACCTATTTGGACATACTGATTCAGCAGCTGGTGGAGACAGTGAAGAAGAAGCACATAATGACGACCTGAGTGCACACTCGTCCCAGCCAAAATCAAAGAGGTATGATTCCAGACATGACCTCATAATCATTTTACACATCGACACAATCTGCACTCAGATGTTTTAAACATATATGCTCGATCTCATAATGATTCAAATTTATGCAGGCAGAAAAACATTGCGCACAGCAATGATGGAGATGATGGGTCAAAGAACTGAGGTACGGTTGTTGCTGTCAAAAAAGACAAGCACCTACAAACACACAAAACCACACCAAACACTTAAGATTCATATGACAACCAGATATTCCTTATAAAATTAGTTTACACTGAGTTAATTCTCTTTGTTTTCCCCAGATAGATGGTACGGACATGTGACCGAAACACGACAATCTTTTGCTGCCAAAAGAAATGTAGGATGAACAACAAATGCATAGCTTCTAACCTGTTCATGTGTACAGTGGTGGACTGCGTTCAACCACTTTGTGTGTACACAGAACTTCAATACGTACCTATTCCCTAAGTAGCTTCAAAACACCTTAGCTCTTGTCTACTATTTACCATCAGACATATCATCCTGGATACTATGTCAGCCAATGTTTATAAAATCTATCGTATGTATACGAAACCACCTGTTTATCGTGATATTGATCTCTTCCGGTGTGCTATACAGAATTGTTCCACTCACAGCAAAAAACAAACCCCACCGATCTTAGCACTTATGTTACATTATATACGCTCATGCTCGTCGTGATTCATACACAATCTACACAGCTTGCCTGATCCGATTCTTAGTTCATACACGATCTACACAGCTCGCCTGATCCAATTCTTTTACAGGAAGGAAGAGAGAGCACACAGAGAAGATGAATATGCCGCACATGAACTAGATGGTTCGGTCGTGAAGCTTCGAAAAGCGTCTGGTCCCTTGCATCTGCTCCACACCACCTCATCCAATATAAAAAAAAGAGGGACGGGCCATCCTCAACCCTCTTCTTCGTCAGCCCACCTAAGTGATTCCGTCCCCGTGACGTCCACACCGCTTCCTGTCCAAATCGGCCAGCCGACCAATATATACCGCGAAACTTGGTAGAATCCTCTCGGTCCACTCCACTCCCTTCCACACTCTTCTCGTCCCCTCCGTCCTCAGCTCCATTTTGCGCACCTCCTATCCGCCCGCGTCTTTCGTCGCCGTTCCCCGGGATTGTGCCGCCGTCTCTGTCACCCCCCTCTGTTTCCGTTGTCCGCCGGAGCCGCTGTGTTGGAGTTTTGCCTGCCACCGTTGTCGGAGTGGTGGTGCGTCAAGGGATACCTGCAATAGTTCGAAAGCTAACCCTAGCGGCATCGTCGCCGCCGCTGCCGCCATTACATCGTACCTCGCCGCCAGTTCCAAGAACTCTCAGGTTATGCCTCGCATTTTTCTTTTCTGTCCGATTGGTCCTCGCTGCTCCTTGGTTGCCAGTTCAGTGCAGTTTTCTGGGCCAGGTTTAACCATGTGGGAAGTGCGGGGGAGTGGTGCTCAGCGTTGGCTCCCCCCTGCCCCGCCCTGCCGTCGGCGCAGTCGCTTTGGTGGTTCAGGCGGCTGCTCTCCTTTGCTTTATTCCGGCTTCGTTGGTTTCCAGGTTACGCGATGTACAGCCGACGGCCAGTACACTATGGTTTCCCCTAGATTCGTTTCGGATTTTCATAGATGCAAACCTAACAAAAACTTACCAAGCCTTTGCCTGCTCCATACCCGTACACATGCGAATAAATCTAAACTTGATCTGCTTCTATGTACAAAAACTGTAGACACAGCGCATATAACGACAACTTATTACATATTGAACTCTCTTTCACACTCATGCTATTATACGTACTGATTAAAACGTTCAGCTTTGTGTAGATGGCAGCTCGTCGATTCACCAACCTCAAGATTATCGACATCAGCGACTTGAAAGATTTGAACACCACTGTGCTAAGCAACACAGTCCTTGCAAGTGTTCCAGAACAAATCGAAAGCTCAATCAATACTTACGACCTGGTCGAAGCAATCCAGAACCAGCATCAAATCCCACTTCAGGTCCAGCATGTGTCATACTATGGACCAGGCTACTTTCTTCGCCTACCTACATTAGCAGCAAAGGCTCATCTGCTCCGATATGGCTTTGTGTATGTGCACAATTTCATAGTTACTTTTGTGCCATGGAAACCAGACTATGGATCAACTATAGTACCGCTTCGAGACATCCTTACCTCTGTTCCATTCAACCTACACCTAGCTAGAGACAACGCCTATCAGATCCTTATGAAAGACTCACCATCCAGGTTTCTGGGACACCACCACAAGTGTATTGTGCATCAACAGTTTACAAACTCTTTGACAACCTATGTACCATCAACAAAATACACTTCATACTAGCAGAGCTTAATTTCGACATTACTGCCCATGGCCAGCTCTCTGCGATTCCTAACACAGCACACATAGGTCTTAGAGGACTAAACGGACAGAGTGAGATTGTGCACATTTGGCCACTAACATATGAAACTTTGACCGACCAAATGCGAGGCAGAGACACGCCACCTGAGGACCGCGTCTCCGAACTTCGAGGTAATTATATGTACCACACTAATACCATGATGCATTTGTACAGAACCAGTACTAAACTGTAAACTCACACACCTTTTCTCCTATTTCACAGGATACCGCGAGCGCCTGTTATGTTCTTTTGATAATGACGATGCAACATCTCGCCTACGAGTTATAACCAAAGACTCCCTTCAGTACTATTTTTGCCAGTACTAACTCAATACCATGAACCACGCCAGACTTTTACTATTATATCAGAAATATACAATTCTGTTTTCGCCTAAACCAAACAAAACAACAAATTATACTCTTCTTTGCATCAGTCCATTTGAACAAAGACACCTCGACTCGACCTCTCCGAATGAAGAATCATTTCCAACAAAGGCAACAAACATTGGTCCCGCAACCAAGCAAACTTTCCTCAAATTGACCTCGGTAGCGTTCAAATTTCCAGGTGTACACAACAGTTCTACGCTCGACACTTCCAACAACAACACAGATGCCAACTGATCCATGTCCATCATCAACACCACCAGCACCTGCCTATCCACCTATGAGCATTACCAATGCAATAGCAAATTATATTGTATAATATGTACTCCTTCTCGGTAGGCCGAACTTTAGTAGTTCATCGACACCCTATATTGTATAATATGTGCTCCTTATCGTTATGCCATGAAACAGATAAATTTAGCACCTGCTGTCCTTGTAATATATCGTATCTTAATGCTTCCTATCACAGTGCTTGAGCACCTACTTGACCTAGCAAGTTTACCAATATATAAACAGTGCATCATCAATCGTATGTGCTCCTTATCAGTACCATATCAAACAACAAATATGCCAGGTCATCACTTCCTCATATATGACACCTGATGGTTGATATGATACCGTTTGATACTATTACAAATCATACACGGTAAATCAGCATTTCCAACACATTCGGTCCGTGATCCAGCAGTATGGACCGTTCATACACCAGGCCCACCTACCGACAAAGCCCAAACCAAATACCGGTAGCCCACACGGCGCCACCACACTAGTATTGGCAAAAATGTAAAAACCCCACCCACCGCAGCAACGGCGGGCCCTCGCCTCCCTGTCCCCGAGTCCCAGGAGGGGGTACCGGCGGCGAGGATGAGCGGCGGCGGAGCCGGAGGGAAGGGGGCTATGGTGGCGGCGGCGCCCGTCCCGGTCGGGTCCAGGAAGCTGGTGCAGGGCCTCAAGGAGATCGTGAACCTTACGGAGGCGGAGATCTACGCTGCACCGCGCGAGTGCGGCATGGACGCCGCCGCCTCGTCTCCCAAGGTCCGGGCACGGCTTGCGCTGTCCTCTGCCCACTCCCCACTCCCACGATTCCGTGCCTGTTTAGCTGTTCGTTGTAGGGCGCGTTGCTAGGGTTTGCACGGGTCTTATACCAGCGGGCTCTCGTCGATCTGGGCGATTCGTCGACGTGAAGGTTGTAGTCTGAGCGCGCGGCCCGATTAGTGGGAATCGGATGCACCTGTATTGTTTCGTTTCCCCCTTTGGGGCCCTCGAGTTCATACTCGGTTTAGTTATCTTTGAGTCGGTATTATCAGATAGTAGTCTTAGATGTTGAAGTCTTTGTAGTATTAGATGTAGGAGCTGTGAGTGGTGTTACAAATGTCCACTATTCATTTAGGGTTTCTAGATTTCCTGCAAATGCTATTAGTGGTAAGGATTAGCGACTAAGGAGTTTCCTATTTTGGAATATCACGCAACTGCGCAGGTAGATTATCTTTTCTCTCTACTATCCGGTGGTTGGTTCCTCTGTCTGTGTTGTGGTGCCAGCCAATCATTTCAATAACATTCAGACTTCTTTGTAGTTGTCGCTTCTGGGAGGATTTGCTTTTCTCTAATGGGATGTGATGATAGCGTGGACAATGTCTGGACACTGGAAGGTTGGGAGAAAGTACACAAGCGTGCTGAATTAGACTGGACCTCTTAGTGTTTCAATGCAGGAGGCAAACTGAAATTGGTTAAGTGGATAGATTTGTGTTTTGTACTAGTTATAGGAGTAGGACTTAGGAACCAGATTTGGAGAGCATGGTTGCGGTAGGCTTAGATAGTTTGTTGGGAAAGAAAACCCGTGGTACGTTTAGCTACCGGGTTTGGAAAGAGGGGAGCGTTTAGACTGGGATATCATATGATGTTTGAACTCTTGCTCTTTTATATTCGGTCTCCTGTCCGCTAGTCATAAAATTTTGAGGAAGGTGTTTATGTACTGGATTCACCCATGATAGGATTTATTGAACATGTACATCAGATCACTGGTTGTCTTGTCTTTTTTCTTAGTTTAATCTTTTTGTGTATAAGAACAACTTTTGCTGGCTTTGCTTATTATGGTATTTTCCTTTTGGTATTGCAATTCCTGGTTATAACTTTGAACGCACCAGTGCACCACAACTTGCTTGGGTTTTCGTCCTGCCTACACATTTGCTGTAGGATGAGTTTGATCTCGAATCATCTGTTCTCTACATTTTAGTATTGGTACTGTAGCTTAACTTCTCAGTACTCTAGACCTATATAGACATTAATTACATGTGCTTGTCATGGAATGAAATCTGTCTACTTACCAGACGTGCTCAAGAATGTTTGCTTTGGATTTATGGATATGTTCTGGCTTGCTGAGCTCATGGCTTTGCTGGCAATGTAAGTAGTTGTCTAGATATCATCTGATCTTGCATTATGTACATGTGCTTGTTATCTATCATCCGGCCTCCAGTTTTCCTTTTATTGGTCTGCAACTTGCATTATGTACACTAGAAGAATACCCCGCGCGTGGCTATGGGAATTGCAGATTAGTGGATTGTGTGGCATGATGACATGGACAACAAAATACTTATGTGTCTTGCTGACGTGGATATTACAATTGCATGGGCTAGTGGATTTTAATTGTGTGTGATAGTGGATTGCCTAGTTGGACAGCTTGAATGTTGAGACAAATAGGTAGTGGGGTTTTGCTTTATAAGAGTATAAGATAAGATAAGATAAGATTTGGTAGTGGCACCAATATTGATTTGTTATGTTGATGGGCCGAGCACATCTATAAATGTTGATAACTCATCACTGCATATACTCTTTTCAGATACTTTCCAAGAGGTAAAGAGCAAGCGTGACAAGAAGAAAGAGGTCAGAACTGATTTTTTAAAAACTTTATAATGTGCCCTATCGTCTTGAATATACAATCCATTTGATAATAACCATTTGCCAGCTTTTATTTACCTTGTTCATAAATTGGTAACCAACCTTGTTCTTGCACTATTTAGTTTCATTGGGTGAATGATACTGATAATGAATATGTATGCACTACTGATACTTTTTTCTACCATGCGTGATTCCTTGCACTAGAAGTTAGCATATTCAACTACAGTTTTGGTTATTGTTTGAAAAGTGCTCTATTCTTGGTTGAGCTCTAGAACTGACAACTAGAGTTGTGGGCATTGAATAAGCAGATTGAAGAGGTTCCTGAGACAAGATATCGATCGGCAAATAGTTCTATTAGTCGAGGCTTTAGAAGTGGTGCAGATCGTGGTGGATGGAGCAATTCTGTGCACTCTAGCTCTACTGGTAAATAGAATGTGTGCCATTTTTAACCTCAAGATTGTTTTTTTGGCCCATTATTTCGTCTGACCCAATCTTCATTTCATTCCAAAAATTAGATAACATGACCTCAAGGCCACCAGTCTCAGGGTCTGGTACGGCATTAGTTAATTCCAGTCAGAGGCAAACAATTGCAAGGTAAAGGGACAAAAGGACCCTTCTGTGATCCATTCAAAGGACCGGTGCTGTTTGTTTATATACTTTTTTTTTTTTACTTTAAGTGATTTTCTGTTTTCCTTCAAATAATTTTGTTGTGGCTCGTGATGTCTATTTTTTGTGTTACCGCCGGTGCTTTTGTCATGTTGAGTAAACATCCAAGGATAACAAGAATTAGTGGTGTTAATTTCTTAGGTTTACTATTGTTCTCTAGGTAGTTCATTTCATTTACTTCATGACATTCTAGTTTTTGCAAAAAAGATCATTTGCAATATTGTAGGTGTTCAGAATCAACAGAATGATCTCCAAATGTTTGAATGATGCCCATCTCTATAAAATAGAGAATTATTCTCAACAACAACAACAATAACAACAACAACAACAACAACATAGCCTTTCAGTCCCAAGCAAGTTGGGGAAGGCTAGAGTTAAATTCCACCAAGAGCCCCAAGTCACGGTTCAGGCACTTCAATAGCTGCTTTAGAATTATTCTCAACTGTCAATATTTTCAGATCATTTAGTTTTTATTATTACATTTTGCTGATTGCAGATGTTAATATTCTCTCTTGTATTCTGCAGTTCCTCTGCAAACAAACATATGGTTACTGATGGACCAGTATCATTGCAATCATCGTCTGGGTTTCAGCATGGTGGTTGATCTGGGATACCTGGTCAGTTGTCAATGGCTGACATTGTGAAAATGGGTCGGCCTCAGGGCAAGGCTTCTAGCAAACCTGTGGTCACAGCTGACAGAGGTTATGCTGGACAGTACCCATCTTTGCCAAACACAAACCAGAACCTGAAACAATCTGTAAGCATGGTTCCCCCAACAGAGCTTGACAAGGGGTTACAACCTGCCCAAGATTCGGTTCAGGTTAAGAATCATGGTCATTCTGCTGCTGACAGCAATCTCCCATATGGTACTGATTGGTCTCCGCAAGACGACCCAACATCCCTTCCTGGTGATCCGTCCTTGTATGAAGCATCGTTTCAGTCATCTACATTGGTTACTATTAGGATATGTATATATCAGGATCATTAGAGAGATCTCCTAGATAGGCTAGTTGCTATGTATAGCCTAGTTTCCTTACATTAGGATAGCTTCCTTGTCCAGGTGATAGCCTCCTATATTTGTACTTGCCATGTGTGCCTAATTGACCCTATATATGAAAGGCTCCCCACCCACATTGGGTGTGTGGTGATTCTCTCTATTCTACATGGTATCAGAGAACTAGTTCCCTTTCTCCCTCCCTCCCGCACCTTTTCTCCACCAGCGGCTCTCTCTTCCAAGGCCAACAATGTCGGCCTCCTCTGCCACTAGTGCCTCCCACTCCTCTGGAACCCTGCCGGCTGCGGACCTCCGCCCCCGCCATCCTTGTCGCCCCCTACGCGACAATCTCCGTCAAATCCCATGTCCCGATGACCCTGGAGCTGAACCACCCAAACTTCAACCAGTGGTCGCCGTTCTTCACCTCCCTCTGTGGGAAATTCGGCCTCCTCCCGCACATCAACGGCACGGCGGCGGCCAGGCCCACTGACCCTGCTTGGGCTATTACGGACTCCTGTGTTCGCAGCTGGCTCCTCGGCACTGTCGGGACCGACGTCCTCGGCCTTGCTGCGGCCCCGGACCAGACCGCGCGCGAGCTCTGGGTCGCCATCAAGCGCCTCTTCGAGGCCAACAAGGCCCCACGTGCCATCTTCCCGAGTCACAAGTTCCACTCCATGACCCAGGGCGACTCCTCCATCGACGAGTACTGCCAGCAGATGAAGGCCACCGCCGATGCGCTCCGCGATGTCGGTCGTACCATCACCGACCCGGAGCTCGTCCTCAACCTCCTACGCGGCCTCAATCCCCGCTTCGCTAGCACTGCGGACAACATCGCCGACTCGCACCCGCTGCCGGACTTCGCCACCACTCGCGAGAAGCTCGTCCTCAAGGAACTTCGCCTTGCCAACGAGGGCACGGTCGCCGCCCAGACGGCGTTCAACGCCACGTGCGGTCCAAATTGCTTCGGCCTCCCCCCGCATGGTGGCGGCTCTCTCTGCCCGTCGCCAGAAGCGGCCGGCCATGCAGCGGCGGCTTCTGGTGGCGCAGCGGCGGCGGCGGCGGCGGTCGCTTCTGAGAAGAAAGGGCAGAAGCGGCCACGGCGGCGGCGATGGTCCCCGATGCAGAAGCGGGCATGGCACCCACACCGCCCGCCACGCCCCCGGTTCACTCGCGCCCCTAGACGGTAGGCGCATAGCAAGAAGATGGCGCCCGCCGGCGGCGAACCCGGCCTGGCGCGGCCCCGGCGTCCTCGGCGCCCATCCTTAGGCCCATACCCGCCTTCGCCCCCGCCCAGTTCTCCGACCGTGCGGCCCCTCTCTCGCGCAGCGAGATCATGCGGTACGGGATCGAGCCCCGCCTCGTCGCTTTCGAACCAGATGTCTCTCTAGGGGTCCAACCCCTGGGTCCTCGACACCGGCGCCACAACTCACATGACGCCCTCGGATGGTATACTTCTGTCCCGTCTCCCCCCTCCTGCCTCTGGCATCACGGTTGGCAACGGCAGCACCATTCCTATCACATGCCGTGGCACCTCCACACTGTCTTCTCCCAACTCTACTTTTCGCCTCACTAACGTTCTAGTTGCGCCGGCCCTCGTGCGCCATCTTCTTTCGTTCGTCAATTCACACGTGACAATGATTGTTTTATTGAATTTGACGCTTTCGGTTTTTCTGTCAAGGACCAACAGACGGGGCGTATGACTCTTCGCTGCAATAGTGGTGGCGACCTCTACACCTTCCCCTCCACGCCAGCACACCACTGCAGCCTCGCCACCACCTCATCGCTATGGCACCACCGCCTTGGTCACCCCGGTCCTTCCAGCCTCGCCACTCTACAGAGCATGTCGTTCATCTCCTGTAATAAGAGCCCATCATCTCTATGCCATGCCTGTCAACTTGGCAAGCACGTATGGCTCCCATTTAGTCATTCTACCTCTGTGACCACTGCTCCCTTTGATTTAGTTCACTGTGATGTTTGGACGTCCCCGGTCCTTAGCACCTCCGGTTTTAAATATTATCTTGTTCTACTGGATGATTTTTCCCATTATTGCTGGTCGTTTCCGCTTCGTCACAAATCCGAGGTGCACCGCCACATAGTCGATTTCATTGCCTACGCTCAAACACAGTTTGGCGCCACACCCAAATCATTCCAAGCTGATAATGGGACCGAGTTCGTTAACCATGCTACCACCTCCTTCCTCGCTAGCCATGGCATTACGCTCCGCCTCTCGTGTCCCTATACCTCTCCACAAAATGGCAAGGCTGAACGCATGCTTCGCACCACAAATGACACTATCCGCACCATGCTCCTTCATGCATCCATGCCACCTCCCTACTGGGCTGAGGCTCTTGCCACTGCCACTTTCCTCAATAGGTGACCCTCCTCCTCCATACAAAACAATATACCCTATCAGCTTCTTCACAAATCAATCCCAGACTACTCCTCGCTTCGAGTTTTCGGATGCCTCTGCTATCCAAACCTCACTGCCACCTCCCCCCACAAACTAGCCCCTCGCTCAGCACCCTGTGTCTTCCTTGGCTACCCATCCTCTCACAAAGGGTATCGCTGCCTCGACATGTCCACTCGACGCATCATCATCTCTCGCCATGTTATTTTTGATGAATTGGTGTTCCCCTTCTCGGCAGCACCATCGGCGGCCTTCATGCCGTCTTCACTTGATTTCCTGATGCAGGGACTATCTTCCTCGACGGCACCTGCGCCCACCGCTCCGCTGCTCGCTGGCCCTACGGCCCCCACCTCTAGCGTGGACGAGTCCCCGGAGCTCCTGCACCCGGCTATCCTCCAGCTGGGCCCCCTGGCTCCTCCTGCGGGCGGCCCCCGACTGGGCGGCCAGCGCTTCGGCCCTGTCTACACTCGCCGTGCCCGGCATCCTACAGCGCCGACCAACCAAGCAGCAGCTCCTGTGGCCGCAGCAGTGGCACCTGCTGCACCTCCAGCACCACTGGTGCCCCCTGCTGCGCCTCCAGCAGCACCAGCAACCGCTGCTGGCCTTGGTGCAGCAGCTCCTCGGGCTGTCGCGCCGCCTGTGACGCGCTCATAGACCGGCAGTCTCCGCACCATCGAGCGCTTCGGATTCTCCGCCTCCGTTGCCTCGCCCCTCCTGACGAACTATCGCAGCGCACTCGCCGATCCCAATTGGCGCGCTGCGATGGCGGAGGAACACAAGGCGCTGATCGACAATGGCACTTGGCGCCTCGTCCCTCGCCCGCCTGGTGCGAACATTGTCACTGGAAAGTGGCTGTTCAAGCACAAGTTTCACACCGACGGCTCCCTCGCCTGGCACAAGGCGCGCTGGGTCGTCCGTGGCTTCTCCCAGCAGTCCGGCGTCGACTACGACGAGACATTCAGTCCAGTGGTCAAGCCGGCCACGATCCGCACTGTCCTCAGCATCGCTGCGTCTCGGGAGTGGCCTATCCGTCAGCTTGACGTGAAGAACGCCTTCCTTCACGGCCACCTCGACGAGACGGTCTACTGCGAGCAGTTGTCCGGCTTCGTCGACCCCGCTGCCCCTGACTCTGTCTGCTTGCTGCAGAAGTCCTTGTATGGACTCAAGCAGGCGCCGCGTGCTTGGAACCAGCGCTTCACCACTTTCATCCGCAGCATCGGCTTCACCCCCTCCAAGTCGGATGCATCCCTGTTCGTCTACAAAGTTGGCGACACGCTGGCCTACCTCCTTCTCTACATCGATGACATCATTGTCACCGCGTCGTCGCCGGCTCTTCTCCAGCATGTCACCGCGCGCCTCCGCTCGGAGTTCGCCATGACGGACCTCGGCGACCTGCAGCACTTCCTCGGCATCTCGGTGACTCGGGACAGCCGCGGGCTGTTCCTTTCCCAGCGGCAGTATGCTGTGGATCTTCTCCAGCGTGCCGGCATGTCTGAGTGCCAACCCCCGTGGATGCCCGGACCAAGTTGTCCGCCACAGAGGGCGCTGCTCTCGCTGACCCCTCGGAGTACAGACGCCTTGCTGGTGCGCTCCAGTACCTCACCCTGACGAGGCCGGACCTGGCCTATGCCGTCCAGCAGGTCTGCCTCTTCATGCACGACCCCCGCGAGCCGCACCTTGCGCTGATCAAGCGCATCCTGCAGTACGTCAAGGGCTCCCTATCGTCCGGCCTGCACTTGGGCACCGGCGCCATCGACCAGCTCACTGCCTACTCCGACGCTGACTGGGCCGGCTACCCCGACACGCGCCGCTCCACCTCCGGCTTCTGTGTCTACCTTGGCGACAACCTGGTGTCTTGGTCCTCCAAGCACCAGACGACGGTGTCTCGCTCCAGTGCCGAAGCAGAGTACCGTGCAGTGGCCCATGTTGTGGCCGAGTGCTGCTGGCTGCGTCAGCTACTCCAGGAACTCCACATCTCGATCCCGCGTGCGACGGTTGTCTACTGCGACAACGTGAGCGCCGTCTACATGACTGCCAACCCCGTCCACCATCGCCGCACGAAGCACATCGAGATCGACATCCACTTCGTCCGCGAGAAGGTTGCTCTAGGACAGTTCCGAGTTCTTCATGTTCCCTCCGCGTACCAATTCGCAGACATCATGACCAAGGGTCTACCTGTCCAACTCTTCACTGATTTCCGGACCAGTCTGTGCGTCCGTGATTCTCCCGTTGCGACTGCGGGCGGGTATTAGGATATGTATATATCAGGATCATTAGAGAGATCCCCTAGATAGGCTAGTTGCTATGTATAGCCTAGTTTCCTTATATTAGGATAGCTTCCTTGTACAGGTGATAGCCTCCTATATTTGTACTTGCCATGTGTGCCTAATTGGCCCTATATATGAAAGGCTCCCCACCCACATTGGGTGTGTGGTGATTCTCTCTATTCTACAGTTACTGATGTAGTTAATTCACATGAAAATTTGCACTTGGATGAAAATAGCACCTTTGCAATGAGACCAGCACCTGCCTCAGAGAGACACTTGGAACCTAGTGATGGTATTTCTGAATACAATGATGGAATGTTGAACAACTCAAGTTCCTATCAGCCTCATAATTACTCTTACACAGAACAAGAAGGTAATTGTAGAACTAATGGGAATCTGCTAGCTGTTGGTTAACCATTTTAGATGTTGATGATTTTTTCTATAAACATCAATTTATTTAATTTTCCATATATTAGCTATGGAATAAGCACCAAAGTAACATCTTAGGTAGTTGTCAGTCTTAGTCAGAATCATGGAAGAAGTGGTCTAAATTGTAATTATCTGCTTGAGTCTAGTTGGGTAATGTAAACAGTTTTTTTTACCATGTATTATGTAGTTCTGCCTGTATATTTCACTCTTTGCAGACTGTTTTTGTGCCATAGATGTAAACATAATCAGGAAGGTACTGGGACAAATATAAGCACCTAAAAGCATTACTTTATCCAAACTATGGGATCAAATGCTGCTAGTATTTGTTAAGTAATAGATACTGTAGTTAAAACAGATTTAAAGAACAAATATCAACATTATATTGTTTTGTCTTCAACAATAAACTATGGACTGTCATATTATTCTTTGCTTTCCATAAGAAAGGGAGAGTTATTTTGCTTCTAGTGTTGTTGGGCTTGTCAAATTATTCATCCAGTTTACCATCGTATGCATCGCTTCACTTTGGATATTTATGAATCATGTTGCATTCTGATAGCTTGGTCTTGTTTTTTAATGTTGTACAAAATTGTTGGCATGGTTCACAATGAGTTCTGATTCCTTTTGTAATTGTTGTTTATATATGTTTATTATCTTCAGTTGAGGATTCCAGTGCTGATGTATCAGCAGCAGCAGCAAACTTCTAGAGTTTAAGCCTACATAATGACGAGTTAGCTGCAAAAAAGACTGCCGAAGATAACCCTGCAGTGATAATTCCTGATCATTTGCAAGTTACGAAAACAGAATGTGTCAGTTTGAGCTTTGGCAGTTTTGGATCTGGTGCGTTTTCTGGGCTACTCCCACGAAAGGCCACGGATAGAAATGTGGAATTCCCTGCTCGAGAGGAATCTGCACCAGTAGATCAAATAGATGCCAGGTGAAGCATTTTACTGCTGTTTTTTGTGGCATTTTCCTTACCCCTTCGCGTCGGGAATGTTGACACTGTGGAATTGTCTGTTGCAGGAATCAAGATTACTATGAAAGTGGTGCAGTAACTTCGCAAGCAGACGAAAATCTTGAGGCCATGCTGGGAGCCAACATGGAGAATGTCGATGCGCCTTCTGTTTCACAGGCTAATGAGCTCAGGCAGGCCGTACTTGATCCTTCTGGACTTCAATATGATGTGCCATCAGTTTCAAGTCATGCTTATTCAAACACGAACGCTTCACAGCCTAGCACAATGGAGGATCCACAAGGAAACAACCAAGCACATACTCTTTCCCATTTGTCAAACTTGATGGTATGCTGACTCTTCTTTCTGTATTTTTTCCACACATCCTTGGTAACTGATCTTTCGTTTCCCTCAATATTTGTGCCCTATCATCTTGAATATACAATCCTTTTGATAATAACCATGTGCCAGCTTTTATTTACCTTGTTCATAAATTGGTAACCAACCTTCTTCTTGCACCATTTAGTTTCAGGTGAATAATACTGATAATCTGTATGCACTACTGATTCTTTTTTCTACCATGTGTGATTCCTTGGATGAGAAGTTAGCATATTCAACTACAGTTTTGGTTATTGTTTGAAAAGTGACCTCTAGAACTGACAACTAGAGTTGTGGGCATTTAATAAGCAGATTAAAGAGGTTCCTGAGACAAGATATCGATCGGAAAATAGTTCTACTAATCGAGGCCTTAGAAGCAGTGCAGATCGTGGTGGACAGAGCAATTCTGTGCACTCTAGCTCTACTGGTAAATAGAATATGTGCCATTTTTACCCTCAAGCTTATTTTCTGGCCCATTATTTCTTCTGACCCAATCTTTATTTCATTCCAAAAATTAGATAACATGACCTCAAGGCCACCAGTCTCAGGGTCTGGTACGACATCAGTCAGAGGCAAGCAATTGCAAGGTAAAGGGACAAAAGGACCCTTCTGTGATCCATTCAAAGGATCTGTGCTGTTTGTTTATGATTTTTTTTGTCGGTACACTTATGTTTACTTTAAGCTATTCTCTGTTTTCCTTTAAATAATTTAATGTCTATTTTTTTGTTACCGCTAGTGCTTTTGCCATGTTGAGTAAATATCCAAAGACAGCAAGAATCCTTGGTGTTAGTTTCTTAGGTTTACTATTGTTCTTTAGGTAGACAGACTTGAATTAATTAGAGTGGTCCTATCAGCAATTGGCATAGCGATACCTTTACATACATCCAATTTTCCCATTTTTTTTTTCTTTGAGCAGACTCCAATCCACTCCATGAAATCTAGTGGAGCTCACCCCTTGGCCAGTCTCTTCATTAGAGGCCCAACCCTTGGCTAGTCCCCTGAAGGTTCTAACATGTCAATATTTCTATTTTCTGGACAAGGCATAGACTAGGCTTTCTTCACTACTTCGTGGTGATGTTGCTATATGTTTTTGGTTTGAGATGGTTCATTTTTGTAATCAATGTTTTCAAGTCGTCTAGTCGACTCTGGTCGCCATGGGACCGACCAGACGATTAGTCGCGATTAGTCGTCGACCAGGACGACTAGTCGAGTCCTAGTCTCGGCAGTGGGCACACCTACCATCATTAAAGGAAGAGCTCATCTTCGTGAGCTAGGGGGGAGCAGAGGCACAGAGCCAGGGAAGAGCGTCACCAAGAGACGTGCTGGCTGGGGAAGAGGGAAGAGAAGCAGAGAAAGAGCAGAGCAGCAGCAGCCGTCATGCACAGGAGCAAAGAAGAGAGAAAGACCAGAGCAGCAGCAGCCGTCACGCACAGGAGAGGAGAAGAGAGAAAGAGCAGAGCAGCAGCCGTCACGCACAGGAGCAAAGAAGAGAGAAAGACCAAAGCAGCAGCAACTCTCACGCACAAGAGAGAAGAGAGAAAGAACAGAGCAGCAGCAGCCGATCACACACCGGAGAGAATGAGAGTTGGGAATCCTAGAGACTTGGCCTCCTGTATATATATTACAGACCCTAGTGGGCCAACAGCTTGTTCGGCTGAGCAACGAGCCGGCTTGTTCGGCTTATTTTTCTAGCCGGGAAACAGTGTTTTCCAGCATAAATAGTGTTTTTTAGTCCAGCCGAACAAGCAACAAATTGGCAGCCCAACTACTCACCTGGAAGCCCAGTCAGGCAAGCCCAAAGAAGGCAGTGCCCAGCCTGGTCGTGCAGCCCCCTGGTCGAACGACTGATCGTGATTAGTCGTCGACTAGTTGGACGACCAGGTTTCTAGTCGAGCTAATCGAGTCGAAGTCTCTAATCGAGGTCATGGTACCGACCAGACCGACTAATCGCGATTAATCACGATTAATCGGACGACTTTGAAAACATTGTTTGTAATTGTGAATCCCGTGTGTGATTGCAATTCAGCACACCAAGTGAGAAAAATAATATGGGATCAGAGTAGAACTACATTGTTTAATCATATATGTTTTCAAGAAATCACCCAAGGGAAAATAAAGGTGGGAAAGCTCTCCGAAAAAGCATGTGAAACGATACGTCAGAGGTTCTCGAAAGAAGGAATGCAATGGACAAGTCTCAAATTCGATATAAATGGGATGAGGTTAAAAGGTTGCATAGCTTTTGGTACAATTAAGTGTTAGGAGCAAAAGTTGAAGTCAAAGATGAAAAATTTTTAAAAGCGTATATTAAAGGTAATATTGTGTTTATTTATTTTGTTTAATTCTTTTTATGGACCAAACAAAGTTGTAAATATTTTTTTATTTGTTTTTTAGTCTCGGATATGAAAGATGGAGTATAAAAATTTAATACATGGCCCACCTAAAGATATTGAATATCTTGATATCATATTTGGTAATAAGGTAAACATACTTGTTGTTTCTTATACTTCAACTTTTGCCCCTAACACTTGATTGTGCCAAAAGCTATGCAGCCTTTTGACCTCATCCCATTTATATCGAATTTGAGATTTTGTGCATTGCATTCCTTTTTTCGAGAGCCTCTAACGTATCGTTTCACATGCTTTTTTTGAGAGCTTTTCCACCTCCATGTTTCCTTGGGTGATTTCTTGGAAACATATATGGTTAAACAATGTAGTTTTACTTTGATATTATATTATTTTTTCCACTTGGTGTGCTGAACTGCAATCACACACGGGATTCACAATTAGAAAAAGGAACCATCTCAAAACCAAAAATATAGAGCAACATCACTATGAAGTAGTGAATAAAACCTGGTCTATGCCTTGCCCAGAAAGTAGGAATATTGACATGTTAGAACATTCAGGAGGGGACTACCCAAGGGTTTGGCCTCTAATGAAGATACTGGCCAAGGGTGAGCTCCACTAGATTTCATGGAGTGGATTGGGGTCTGCTCAAAGAAAAAAATGGGAAGAAATTGGATGTATGGAAAGGTAGCACTATGTCAATTGTTGGTAGGAACACTCTAATTAATTTAAGTCTGTCTACCTAAAGAAGAATAGTAAACCTAAGAAACTAACACCAAGGATTCTTGCTGTCTTTGGATATTTACTCAACATGGCAAAAGCACCGGCGATAACAAAAAAAAATAGATATCAAATTATTTGAAGGAAAACAGAAAATCGTTTATTGGTGTCAACAAACAAGTTTGTACCACGTGCACAAGTTGTACATCTTTCTTTTTTTTTGGCATCACCCAAACTGCAAATATTAGCTTAATGACTGATATGATGAACCTTCACAAGGACAGTGCAGTGTTGGTGGTGGCTTTTGCTTGGATTATTAGGTCCTTGCGCTCGCTGTGTTGCAGACGTACATAGAGGCATGGAGCGCCTGAACGCGGTCCTGGGTCGGCGTTGCCGTTGGGTAATTCCATGGCATGCCGATCTCGAGGCAGGGCGTGGGGGTGATGGCATCCTCGGGGTCGGGCTGCGGCGGCAGTAGCGATGACAGCGGCGGTTGCCCTGGCTGGCACCATGAGCCGTCTTGGGGGCCGTCTGGGTCAAAGGGCAATCCCGATCCGATCCCGAGCGGCAGGGTGGTCTGGCGAGTCACGACCAGGGGTAGGGCACATCGACGTCGAGCGAGCATGCATGTCGTTGAGCAAAGGCCAGTTGGCACCGCTCTTTGGCATTTTCGACACATTATGCATGCGAAGGCGCTCTCATCTAAAGGTCAAGGTAGTCAAGGATTACCCACCTCTTTATCTTTGTGCTAATATATAATATGAAGGAGCAAACAACCACGGGGGAAGGGGAAGGAAGCTGCGGCATGGTGAGATATGATATATGAGTATATGACACGGACCCGTCCAGCCTCGCGCACGACCGACCGCACGCGTGCACTAGCTACACACCGACCGAAAGGCAGACAAAATTAAGGCACGCACTACACGGGTCTTGGAAAGGAGAAATCTGTGTTTTAACATGAGATGCACGGATGATCCCGGAGGCCCAGCCGACGGTGACCCCCGGCGGGTGTGGACCCGAGGCGGTCAGGTATCTGCCAACAAAAAAACTGAAGGATCCAGGATTCGTCAGCCGTGCAGGCAGTCACGTTATGTGCTTATTAGCATATTTTTTTTATGTTATATGCTGGTAGTACTAGTATATGTTATGAAACCAACACATACATGACAACTCTATTGCACATGTTATTCCAAAAAATTGTCTCATCGTTTGTGTTCTTGAGAATAACTTGTGTGCTTCTAGAAGAGGTGATCGAGTAGTTCATATATGTGCCCTTCAAAGACATCTTATGATGAGGTCTCGTAGATCCATGTTCCTTTGGTCCTACTACACTCAGAAACTATGGAGCGAGCTAGCGGATCGGAGGTCATTTCAGGTTTCAATCATGAAATTAACTAGAGCCATCAGGATTTGAAGGCAAGAGGTCATTTTAACCAAATACCGCTAGCTGCTTAAGGAAAACAGCTTATGTTTACTTGTCAAGTGTTTTTTTTTTAACTTTTGTCAAGTGTTTATTAACAAAGAGCCAAATGAATTCTGTATAACAAGTACACGACCGTGTGAAAGGCCGTCATCAGATATATAGTGAACAGAGGAAAAGCTAGCAGAGTTTATATCAAAAAAAAAAAAAACTGAACAGTCAGGCATATGCTAACAAGCATCGAGCAGAGTTTTACCCTTCGACGCTATAGTCCATCATCCTTTAAGCGACCTCTAATTAAACAATTACAATTGCATACTTTGAATAAATAAATAAGCATGTGTGAACTAGGTGATTATGTCACGAAGGTGCTACTACCAATTCTCTTAACATAGAAAAAAATGTTCTAGTCATGAAAAAGTGTTCTTCAACAAATAAAGCTTTTTGTATATATTCATGTGGGGTCTTACTTTGAAAGATTTATTATAAGAAACATAATGTTACGATCGGAATTTAATTTAAATGTTTGGTTTGGGAATGATAGGTTTTAAAATTTTAAAAATAACTCATAAAGCAACGATGTCAGCAAATTTGGCTTATCTGCAGGGATCGGATATGTAAACAATCTAGTACTGTAGTGAGGAAGATGCACGCGGCCTAATGTGTTTTTTTTGTTGTGTGTGAACAGGCCCAATGTGATTTTTGAGCCGAACAACAACAAAAAGTAGAGTGTGGAGCCGTGGATGAGTGAATTGGTCGGTACGTCGGTGGCGACCGGTCAAATATCGGTGTTGCCTACTACAAGTACACGGGCCTTTGCTCTCACGTGTGTGTGTGTGTGTGTGTGTGTGTGTGTGTGTGTGTGTGTGTGTGTGTATGGCTTGTTGTGGCCGGAGCTGCCAAGTATTAAAAAAAATGAACCATATCCATGTTGCCTACTACTGATATACTAGTATTTTATTAATTGTTGGTTTGTTCAAAGATTTCTAAGCATTTGTAGGCGGTACTATCAGTAGAGGATTCCATGACATTAACTTCGTCACGAGATCGACTTGCTCCTCGTATGCTATAAATAGAAGTGTGTAGTGCATTGTAAGATCGGAAGTATACTTTAGAGTTATAACCATTAATACTATCATGATGGATATTCAACTCATGGTTTTTTGCTTAGTTTTTACCATCCTTGTGACACATCAAGCTTGGGGTGAGAAGGATTGTTACCAGGATAAAGAAAAAGTTAAGAGCCGATGCAAGGATTCCATCAGCATTGTTGGTGATTATGCCGAACCAAGTGCCAAATGTTGTGCAACCGTGCGAAAATCTAACATGGCTTGCATATGTAATAA